GGGGGGGGGGGGGACAAACATTCTGTCAGTTCTAACAGGATTTTTAAACAGTTATAGGAACTATATTTCAATTCAAGATACTGGGTAAGGCTGAAAATTACCAATAACAAGGGAGAAAGTTCATATCACAAGTCTGGCCACTTGGCAAAACCTCCCAGTTGAAGATTATCTAGGAGTGTTTCACCTTGTATCTGTTGTAAGAGATGGGAAAGATAATCCCCACGCAACAGCTACTCTCCATACCTACCCAGAGGCGAATAGGAATTTCCTATCCTAACAGAAGGTGGGGGAAGCCATCGGTTTGGGTGAGAGGACAATACACCCACCAGAATCTTGAAACAGTCATGACCGTGGAAATCACAGCTTTTGTGGTTCTCGACCAGGTGTCATCCTACTAGCTTGTGCAACAATTTCAGTTATTTCCAGTTTTGTAGTGTTGCTATAACTGATTTTAGACATTTAGGCCAAGAATTAAATAAAGGGGGGACGGGGAGACAAGCCATTAGTGTAAAGGTTCAAATGGAAAGCTCCCGTATCAATACGGCAATACTTCAAATTACCTTCTTTCCACTACCCTCCTGAACTAAGGGGAAGCCAACATAAGAGGGTTAAATGGAAGCCTTTAGGTTATGGGCTGTGTGAGGGGTGGTGCTTGCGCCTTGGATACTCCATGCACAGGAACCATTCCTTTCAGAACCATGAAAGAGTGCATAAGGTTGAAGCCCATGGCAAAATCAGGGTTAGATTAAATACACAGCAAAAAGCAGACAACACAGGAATAGAATCCACACCTCTGTCTTAAGTCAGAGAAGCTAGGTTACCTATTTCAGTGAGTTGAAAACACAATTTGAGAACCATCCCTGCAGCTCAGCTATGAGATTTAAACCAGTGCAAATGCACTAAAACATATCTCCAGTACATCCACGTAAACAGGAAATGTACACAATCCCAGATGAGACAGTGAAAATGTTTCACAGCTGAAATGCTGATGTACAGTAGCTGGAGTCTTTGAGAAGTGGGGCTATCATCACTCCAGACGTTTTCTTGAGGTATTATTTCTTGTTCAGCCTTCAAGCTCCAAGGCAGAAATTGTAAGCAGTTCAAAGGAGCTGATACCATCTTTTCCTTCCATTTTTTCCTTTACATTTATCCTGAGGATAACCAGTTCATTTCTTCATTATGAAAAAAAAAAAAAAACTTCCTTCTTCCATTGAACAGAAGCATGAAGTTACACAAGATGATGTTTACTAAAATTCCATGGGACAAATGACCCCTACTGTATTTCCTGAGGGAGGATTTCAAGATCCAATGGCCAAAGCTGCCATATAATGGAAGTCAGAAATTTGGGGCTGCATTTGTCACATGGACAAGAGCTCCAGAGAGCCCAGAAACTAGCTGAGCTCTGGCTATTACAGGGGTTAGCCTTGCTACTTCCCAGACTGTTTCTATTGCCTTCCACCAAGCACAAGCTTCAGGTGAAGGTATACCAGGGAAGGCCTTAGACATGTTCTTTGCATGGGGGGATGCCAGAGGGATACAGTGGGTCAGGGAAGAGAGGAAGGGAAGAAAATCAGAGTGCTTTTAAACCAATTAGTGAGCCTAAGGTTGAATGGTTCCATTTTCCAGCTACTGGATCTCCCTCCTCCCCCTCCAAGAACATTAGAAATGCCATATTTGAGAGGACCAGTGATCCATTTGTTCACCATTCTGCCTGTAAAAGAAGCGTTAAGGGGGAGTTTGTGGAGCTGTATTTCACCAAATAGCCCTAGTGGCCTGTAATTCCTTTCGGGAGGCCTATACCATGCGAGGACTCCTTACCCCTCCTGCACCAGCAGTTCCTGCCAGCGCCACTTCCTGACCATGAGCTCAAGTTTCTGACTTGCTATGAGAAGAGCTCCCTTTTACCTATGGCTGTGAGGTAGAGGCGAGGGCTAGTACTTCAGGACCTAGTGAGCGTGTCCTTCCTCTTCACTGGATATTGATCACACACCATCCTCAGCTGTCATCGTTCCAGAACTGGAGCCAACATTTTAAAGATGTGTCCTCATCTAAGTGCCTTCACCCCCTGATCCTTTTTTCTCTGCACCTGTATTTTTTAAGTAAGGCCACCTGAGGTGCACAGGTAATTAAGACACTAGCATGGCTGTGTGTGAGGTCCGTTTTCTGTGTCTCCATGTGCCTTGCTGATGATGTAGCTGGCCTTTTGGCCACAGCAGCACACTGACCTCCCCCCTCAGCAATGCCTGGGTTTCCTCCCTGAGTCCTAGCAGAGCTCACTGCCTCCGGCTGCTGAGTTTTCTGTAAGTGCATTACTTCACACTCACCTACACCGAACCAAACCTGTCACTCCTGACTACTCACAGCCTGGCTTGTGGCCCTCCTGCAGGTTTGTTGTCTTTTGTTTGTTTGTTTTTAAGTCTCTTCTGGTTTACCTTTCAATGCCTAGAAGTAGTGACATATGATTGCACTGTAATATCCTACTTTGAGGTTACTTATAAAAATATTAAATAAGGTCTAACCAAGCATCAACCAGTAGGAAACTTCCCATTAACATTCTCTCCAGAAAGATGTTTATTCTTAAGTCTCTAAGTTGTTTCCCAAGCATGACAAAATATTCCTGTAATCTCATAGTAACTGGTGCTTTTAAACTGCCTTTGTGAAGAACTTGACAAAAGTTCTTTAAAAGTTTGAACAAATTAGATCTTGTTCCTTCTTGAACACGTTTCTTTTTATCCTCAAATACCTATAATATACAAGTTGGACATGATTTCCCACAGGGAAACCACTTTACCTTTCCTTCAATAGGTCTATGTGATTAAGACTTTACTGGCACTACTAAATCACTAGTTTGCCATCCTGCCAATTCAAGGTGAGTTAGCTGATGAATTTCTGTCCAATCAACAGCACAGCCTGAAGTATACCAAAGAGTACAGATGAAGGCCGAGTGTTCGGTAGGAAAGAGAGGAAGAGGAAACTGCGCTTTCATGGGGCAGGAGCAAAATCTAGCTAGGATAAAGGGTATTTTATTTTTTAACTTAAGTCAAAATTACATGATTTTAAAAAGCCACAATGATAGAGGGGAGTGGGACACAACAGGCTAAGATGTTTATGTTATAGTTTAAAACACATTTTCAGCTCCCAAACCAGGTGCTAAGGAGAGTGCTGGTAGAAAGTCATAGTGCTGGAGAAACAGATGTGCCAAGGACCCCAGGGAGACAGGAAATCACCTCCGAGGTGCAGCCACGGAAGAGAGGACTTTAGGCAGGCACCTGGGGCTCAGGATCAAGCTCCTCTGATCCCTACACCACATCATGCCTTCAACCGAGCTCAGAGGGAATATTTTTTCTTGACTTAAATTTCAAATAAATTGAGTTATAGAAGAGAAAGCTGATACAACTGAGCCGCTACCCTTGTTTACTTTCTACCACAGCAAAACGATGATGAAAGCAAAACAAAGGAAGCGTAACCCTGAAAACCGGATTGTGGCATCAGCCAAGGTGATATGAGCTTGGTTCCCTTGCTAAAAAATGCAGGGTCCTGTCTCCCTTATCTCATGCCTCTCCTGGCCCCCGCCTCATTGGCTGTTTCCGTTCTACTCTACTACCGTGGCCAGAGCTCAGGCCAAGGACTGTTCAGGTTGGCTACAGGAAGCTCTAGGACAGAGAATCTTTGGTGGCTCTGTGGGTGACAAGAGGTGAACACGTAACCTTGTTCACGGGCTGTGGAAGAAGCAACTGTCTCTGTCATGAAACCATGGTGAAATGGCCCTACAGTGTGCAGAAGATGCCACCTAGTTTGCAGAGGACCCAAAGGCTTTATGTAGGCAAGACATGCCTGAACCACGCACAAAGCTGCCCCCAATTTCCTGGAACGTGGTCATGCTTGGCCCTATCTGCCATCCAAGTTAGAAGAGCTAGCAGAAAGGAGTGAGTTAAGCACTCCCCCGTCCGTCTGGCATCCTTAGCCCACTTATTCAACACTGGAGGCTGCCTTCTGTCACAGGTGGTACTATTGCTGGTGATCGCCTCTTTCCTTGGCTCAGATGGCTGAGCCACTGCTATCAGAGCTCAAAGAGGGGGTTATATTTCCTAATCTCCCGAAGAAGTTTTTCTTTATCCTGGTTGGCATTGGCCAATGCTTGTTTAGTTTCTGTAAGTTCCTTTTGTAGGGTAGGCAGTTCTGTCACCTGAGGAACAATAAGTAATTCACAGTTAATGAGTAAGGTAACACACCTTGCAAAAAACACACAAAACCACTCAGTAAGGGAACAAGGAAGAATTCAAGCAGAAAGATCCGCAAGTTTGGTCAATGATCGAGAGAATCTAACTCGTTTTTTCTAAGAGCATAATGCCATCTTCAGAATTCATCAGGGACAGGGACAGCAGTAGGTGATATGTGATCAGCAGCCATCCACCTCCAGCTCCAGATTTACATCCTCTATTAAGCACATCCAGAGGCTGCTGGTAGGCGACGGAGCCCAAACCACCCATCCATATACAGCACAAGAACCCTTTCAGCCTTCTGGGTTTTACCAGCTTCTGTGACTACAGTCCCTAAGGGTTTATGGGGAAGGTACTATTCAGTTAGGTCCTCACCTGCTGTCCAAAAGCCTCCCCAGTGGGGACCAAAAACACCTGTTCTTCTGGAAGCTGTCTCTTCTCACTTTTAGGTACTTCAGCTGATGGTCTGTCCTGAGCAGCAGCTGGAAAAAAAAAGTAAAGGTTCTAAATGACTAATTGCTGCCAAGATGCAGACGATTCCTAGTTGTCACCTGTTCCCTTACAGGAGAAAAAAGGCAGAGAAGCCAGGGGGCTGACAAGCCCAACTCACCGCCTACGTGGAACACACCATCATCACTCCGCTTCAGTACAACATGCTCCATGGCCAGAGTGATGGGCACGGCGCCTGGAGACGTCGGGTAGATGGGGGGGATATCATCCTACAGGAAAGGGGGAACGCACATCATGCCCTGACCAACTCAGAGCAATTTAGGTAACAACCCAGGCTTCTACCATTCAGTCTGAAGCACTGTTGTCATTGTCTATGCAAGGTGTGACAGGCAGACCTGAGTCTGTCCCATTCCAGAGATGGTGAAACTGAGGACCAGGTAAACTAGGGATTGTGCACGGTCATTCTGCACACCAAAGACAAGGTCAGGGCTACAGACAAAGTCTCCTGACTGAACCGAGGACTTTTTGACAGCAACACATATTTATGCAGTGCCACAACATCAACAAAGAATGCTAATATGCATTTCCTCACTTGATCCTCACCACCTTTTACAGTGACAAGGCAAGAGTAAGAGCCGTCACTGCCAGAATTCCTTGCCTGACAAAGTCTAAGGTAAAAACCAAAAGTGCCCCTCACCTTTAGGGTGATCCTGGACTTCAGGAGCTCAACCTGCATGGGAACTACCACTGGAATCTCCTCATCCTCTAAGAAGGGCCCCAGGCCATTAAGCACCGAGGTGAGCAGCTCAAGGTCACAGCCTTGAAGCAACAAATGCAGGAAGCCATTCTTTGTGGCCAGGGGGGAATGAACAGCTGCACCAGGCCCCACCTCAAAGCGAAGGCCCACAGCTGGCCTGATGTGGCAAGTCTTCGAAGTTGAGGATTCTTGAAAGCTCGTACCTTTGAGAAGACAGAAGGAAAAGATTAATTAACAGGGACTGTTCTAAGCACTTTACATATACTTAATATTCACAACAACCCTATGCCAAAAGTATTATCATCCTTCCCATCTTAGAGATGAAGGCATAGAGAATAACTTGCCCAAAGTTGCACAACTTATAATATCAAGGACAGGATCTGAACTCAAGCAGCCTTACTGCAAGGACCATGGGCTCAGCTACCTTGCTACCGTGCCCGTGGTACGAGGGAGGTTAAGGACCAAAAGAAGCTGGCCTTGCTCATAATGCCAAGGAAAGCTCTGAACACACAGAGCCCTCCATGTTGCTAAATTTGAACCTCTCTTCCTTTCTTCAAGTCTGGGTCTTCCCACATAAAACTACATCTCTCTGCTAAAGCCAAGCAGGATCCATGCTAATCTCAAAACCCTACAAAGTAATCTCAGGTGCAGCCAAGGACATGGAACAACTTACATACTCATATAACTGAAAATTGGTACAACCATTTTGGAAAACAAATTGGCATTATCTAGTACAGTTAAAGCTCTATCTTCCCTAATGACCTAGAAATTATACACTCAGCCCATCCGGCGCGGCTCAGCAGTTGAGTGTCAACCTAGGATCCAGGAGATCTTGGTTCAATTCCCACGGTTGCAGGCTCGATCCCCAGAAGGGGCTGTGCAGGAGGCAGCCGATCAGTGACTCTCCCATCATTGTTTCTATCTTTCTCTCTCCCTCTCCCTTCCTCTCTCTGTAATCAATAAAGACATATTAAAAAAAAAATTTAAAAAAAAAAAAATTATATAATCAGGAATATAACCCTGGAGGAACTCTCCAACATACACACTAGAAGACATGTACAGGGGTGTTCAGGGAACCCTACTTGAAATAGTAAAAATACTGGAAACAATCCAAATGCCTGTTCATTAATCAGCTGCCTCCTGCACGCCCCCAACTGGGGATTGAGCCCACAACCCCGGCACATGCCCTCACCGGGAATCGAACCCCGATCGCCTGGATCCTAGGTTGACGCTCAACCACTGAGCCACACCCGGCCGTCAAATGCCTGTTCAGAAGAGACTGGAGAAGTAAATATAGTAACGTGTATGAGAGGTATTTTAGGGGTGATGGCAATGGTTGCACAACTCTATAAACTTACTAAAAGTTACTGAATTGTACATTTACAATGAGTGAATTTCACAGCATGCAAATTATACCTCAATAAAGCTGTTTTTAAAAAGCAAAAAGTAGTATATTTTACACAACAGAATATGATAATAAAAATGAATTACAGCTAACTCAACAACCTAGAATTTAAAGAATATCATGTTACTTGAAAGAAGCAAATCACAAAAGATATAAACTATAATTCCATTTACAATAATTCAAAACCCTGCAAAGCTAAATGCATCGATATGAACACGTGGAAGAACTGTAAAGCAAGAGAGTGATAAACACAAATCCCAGGATGCCATGGTTCCCTCTGACAGATGAGAGGCAGAAGGCTCAGGAGAGGAGTTCCCGGGGCTTCACTTGTTTTACTTATTAAACCAGGAGGTGAGAACATGGGTTCACCGTACTGTTATTTTTTTATACCTTACATATACCTTATAAGTATGCCTTCATATTTACTCAATATTTTTTTTAAAAAATTTTAAATGAAGCATATAGCACAAGCCCAGATTTTTCCTGTCATCTTTTAAAGTAAAATGATAATTCACATCAAAGGACTTAATCTGAGTGACAGAAGCTCCTTGGTCAGATATAATTTGATGTGAGCAGCCACACTAACAATGAGTGGCCACTGTCCTCATGCACCAGCTGAAGGAGCATGTGGGGAATGAAAATGGAGACTAACCTACTGAATGCAAAACCCCAGAAAGAGCTCTATGAAGTTCCTGGCAAGGAGGAGGCTTTGTTGTTCTTCCTCCCCCTAATGGCTACTGGAGAGAAGGGCCAAGGGCTTGGCTAGGGCAGCTGCCGCTGGAGCAGTGACAGGAGCCAGTTAAGCTCTGGTTGTCCCACACAAATCCCACCAGTTTTCCTGGAATGGCTGCCATCCTTACCCGGGCACTGCCCATGCAGGAACGGCCAGAGTCCCACGGTGCCCAGGTGCTGCAGGTTCAGGTCCTCTGCTTGCAGGGCCACAGTCAGGTCCTCGCCACGTACCTCAATCCCCAACGACACGTCATTCACCTTCAGCACCAGAACTGAGACCTGTAAAAGAAGACTCTGTTAGCTGAGTCCTGAGCTTCCAACCTGGAGTCTACCCTCTACAGAGAAGAAAGTAGAGCAGCTGACCAGGTGAGGACGGAGGTCTTCCCCACTGGGTGAGACTGAACTATTGGCCTCCAGTGACCCCTGGCCACAACTCTCCACGGCAGGGCTCCCTTGAACATCAGCGCTGTCCAGGACACTTGGAAGAGATCCTGGTGGAAGAGATTCTGGACCAGACTCTGCATAAGAAAGACAACAAAAGAGTTTGTTCAAATACAATCTCTAAAAACAATGACAACTGTAAAAACAAAACAAAACATTTATGACATTTATGAGACAACTAGAAATTTGAAGACTACATATTTGATGAATTTAAGGAATTACTATTAATTTTTAAAAGTGTGATAATAGTATTTCGTCAAATTTTTTTAAAGTCTGCAAATGGAAGCAACCCAAGTGTCCACGGATGGATAAAAGAATAAATAAAATGCAAAGGAAATTCTGACATTGCTACAATGTAAATGAACCTTGAGGACATTATATTACGTGAAACAAGCTGGTCACAAAAGGACAAGTACTGTATGCTTCCACTTATAAGAGGTCCCTAGAGTGGTCAAATTCATAGAGAAAGAAAGCAGAATGATGGTTAACAGGGGCTGGAGTAGGAGGGAATGATGAATTATTGCTTAATGAATACAGAGTTTCACTTTTTCAAGATGAAAAGAGTTCTGGAGACATATAGTGGTGATGGCTGCACAATTATTTGAATGTACTTAATGCCACTGAATTATAGTTAAAAGAGTTAAGATGGTAAATTTATGTATCTTTTACCATAATGAAAGTTTGTATTTTCTAGAGATACATAATGAAAATATTTATGGATAAAATGATATGTTTGGGATTTGCTTCAAAATAATATGGGAGGAAGGGAAGTGGTCAGAAGTACGTATGAAACCAGAATGACCGTGTGTTCTTAATATCTGAAGCCAGGTGATGGGTATGAGGACTCACGATTTCATTCTGTCTACTTTTATATATATTTGAAATTTCCCTAAGAAGTTAAAAATAATAATAATAAAACAAATATAGGCACACACCACATAGCTTAAGTAACAGTACATTCTCTTTTTATTTTTTCATTTAGACACTCAAGGGACGATTTTAGAAGTTTGCATTTCAATAAGCTGAAAGAAGCAGTGTAATTGATTCCTGTGGTAATTGATCTAATTCCTAAAAGTTATTTGTTTTATCATAGACAAAAAGCTCCTAGTTACTTTCCAATAATAAAATACATAGTTAGGCAAAAACCAGACACACACACACCATTGACACCAGCCACAAAACAAAGCCTACTGCTGCAGTGAGGTGGCTGTAAGACTAGACTCGTTCTATGACAAAGGTCAGGCACCACAAAATAACCTAGAAGATGTGGGGATAAAGCTAGAGCCACAAGTCCATTAAAATTTCTCTTTTTTCAGTTTTGGTTAAGAAAAGGTCTGTTTAATCAAATCTCAGCTCCTTCTGCATCCTGCCAGTCTCAATGCAGGCAGTAGAAAGCACCCTTTCTGGACCTCTAGAACGTTGGCTGGCTCTGCTTCCACTTACCAGACTCCAAGAGCACCACGAAGCTATCGCTGCCATCACTGTCCACTGAAATCCGGTCTTCAGGGCCGCTGCTATCCAACGAGACAGCATCAAATGACTGCTGAGATACTGTCCTCTTCATGGAAAAAAAACGGAGCCGGGAAGCACTTCCACTCACTGGGGCTGCCACCTTCTCATCTATCTTGGCCATGGGCTCCCTATTCAAAAAACAAATACAAAACCCACAGGTGTGCCTTCAGAAACACTGTTCCATTCCCCTGCAATACCCCTCCCCTTCAGCCCAGATAGTTATTATATACATAAACTTTGATGTCAACTATTACCTGCTATCGGGGGAGGTTACACCATTTAACAGCTGGCCTTTCTGAATCCTCATTTTAGCATTTAAAACTGCATAAGCAGCTCTTCCCGAAAGCAGCCAGAGGTGGCCTCTGAAAATGAGTTGCTATTCGCTTGACCAAGAAAACCCCACAAAATCATGCAAATCAAGAGGTTCAAATCTCCGCGTTCAATTTAAGAACACTCGTGAAACGGCGCAGGCCGTCAAGGGTATGCCTATTTGAAAAGCTACCAAGTACGTGAAGGATGTCACTTTACAGAAGCAGTGTGTGCCATTCTGTTGTTACAATGGTGGCAATGGTAGGTGCACCCAGGCAACACAGTGGGGCTAGATGCAGGGTCGGTGGCCCAGAAATAGTGCTGAGTTTTTGCTGCACATGCTTAAAAATGCAGAGAGCAATGCTGAACTTAAGGGTTTAGATGTAGATTCTCTGGTCAATGAGCGCATCCAGGTAAACAAAGTGCCCAAGGTGTGATGTAGAACTTACAGAGCTCAGGGGTGGATTAACCCACACATGAGCTCTCCCTGCCACATGGAGATTATCCTACTGCAAAAGAGCAGGCTCTTCCTAAGCCAGAATAAGAAGCTGCACAGAAGGAAAAGATACCCCAGAAGAAACTGAAGAAACAAAACCTTATGGCCCGGAAGTAAATTCAACATAAAATAAATACTAATAAAAGTAAAAGCAGCCCGGCCAGGTGTGGCTCAGCAGCTGAGCATCGACCTAGGATCCAGGAGATCGGGGTTCAATTCCCGGTCAGGGCATATGCCCAGGTTGTGGGCTAGGCAGCCAATCAATGACTCTCTCATCATTAATGTTTCTATCTCTCTTTTCCTCTCTCTGAAATCAATAAAGATGTGTTTAAAAAAAAAAAAGCAAAAGCAGAAAAAATAATAAAATAAAATTGCATAAGCAGCTCTCCCTTATCAACACTGAATGTCAAGGTTATTTAAGATCATCACATATAGAGAAGAGAAGAGAAGAACTACCTACAGCCCCTGTGCTAATGAATGGCACCTGAATCCACCCACATTCACTCCTCAAGTATTTACTGAGTGACTTCTGCATACAAGGTACCGTACTGGGCACGGGGCAGAGGCGAAGGGTGAATAAAGGGATGCGTAAGACATCCTTTACCCTCAAAGAATCTGTTATCTAGAAGGAGGGAGGAGACTCACACATAAATAACCAGGGCACATGCCCGGGTTGTGGGCTCGATCAATGACTCTCACACATAAATAACACTGTATGGAAGTAGGTTACGCACACCACGAGAGAGGGACAGAGGCACAAGCCAAAGGCTAGGCAATATCAAAGAGGGGACAAGGTGAGGAGAAGGGGATCGAGGCGGCTTTGCAAAGGGAGAGGGCATTTGAAGTGGTCCTTGAAGGGCTGTGAAAGAGGTAGGGAAAAGGGCATTTTATAGAGAAGCAGCAGCATAAGCAAAGGCAATGGAGCCAGATAAAGAAACTGACTCCTGGTTAAAGGTGGAATTAAGAAAGACCCAAGTCTGCCCTAGCCAATTTTGCTCAGTGGTTAGAGCATCGGCCCACGGACTGAAGGGTTCTGGGTTCAATTCCAGTCAAGGGCACGTACCTCGGTTGCAGCTCAATCCCCAGCCCCAGTCGGGGCACGTGTGGGAGGCAACCAATTGCAATGTGTCTCTCTCACATCGATCTTTCTCTCTCTCTCTTTCTCTCCCTCTCTCCCCCTTCACTCTCTGAAAAGCAATGGAAAAAGATCCTCGGGTGAGGATTAAAAAAAAAAAAGGAAAACCTAAGTCTAGTACCTCTTTATTTTTGAATCCTCACCCGAGGATCTCTTCTCCATTGCTTTTCAGAGAGAGTGGAAGGGAAAGAACTNATTGCTTTTCAGAGAGAATGGAAGGAAGAGAGATGGCAGTGGTGGTGATGGTGGGGCATCGATGTGAGGGAGACACATGGATTGGTTGCCTCCACAAGGGCCCCGACAGGGCCAGGGATCGAGCCTGCAACTGAGATAGGTGCCCTTGGCCGGAATCCAGCCCGGGACCCTTCAGTCCTCGGGTCGAAGCTCTAACCACTGAGCCAAACCAGCTGGGCGTCTACTACCTTCTTGCAAAGCACTTTTTTCACTTTACCACATGGGTGCAGCCAAATTATAGAAAACCTTGGATAAAAGATTATATATGAAGGTGCTTGGAAAACTATAAAGTGCAGGAGGTATATGGGAAATCCCTATACCTTCTGCTCAGTATCGCTATGAACCTAAAGCTGCTCTAAAATAATAAAGTTTTTTTTTTTTTAAATATATCTTTATTGATTTCAGAGAGAAGAAAGGAGAGGGAGAGAGATAGAAACATCAATGATGAGAGAGTCATTGATGGAGCCCACAACCCGGGCATGTGCTCTGACCAGGAATCGAACCCCGATCACCTGGATCCCAGGTCAACGCTCAGCCACTGAGCCATGCCCGGCCAGGCTAAAGTATATTATTTTTAAAAAATCAAACAAACAAAAAAACTGTAAAGTGCCATGTGATTATGCCACACTAAAAAGTTCAACTAGCACAGCCAGCGAGGCTCAGCGGTTGAACATCGACCTAGAATCCAGGAGATGACAGTTCGATTCCCGGTCAGGGCACATGCCCGGGTTGCGGGCTCCATCCCCAGTCAGGGGCGTGCAGGAGGCAGCTGATCAATGACTCTTCCATCAATGATGTTTGTATCTCTCTCTCTCCCTCTCCCTTCCTCTCTCTGAAATTAACAGATATATATATATTTTTTTAATTATGCACACAAATGCTTAATAAGTGGGAAAATATTCACAATAAAACATTAAGTAAATAAAACTGGACATTTTCTATATCCTATAGAAATATAATCCTATTGTAAAAATAATATTTGTGTATATATGTGTATACACATATAAGCATTCACATGGATGCACAAATATATGTAAAAGCATTGGAAGGAAATAGATCCAAATGTAAACAGTGGCTCTCTGGATAGTGTCATTACAAGTGGCTTTCATGATTTCTTCTGTATTCTTCCATTTTTTACATTGTCAACAAAATGAGCACAATCATTGTTATAATTAAAAATTATGACCAAAGTGATAAGAATGTAGTTACATTTACAGGATAAGAGAGCAGCCAAGGAAGAAGAAAAGACGCCTCCTTCCCAAGTGTAGCTGGGTGAGGCACATGCTCAGGGTAAACTGACGGGCAGGAGTCAGTGCCACAGAGTCGTCCAGGGTACGGGGGGCTGAGAAGAGGCCAGTGGCCTGTGCAGTGAGGAAGTCATTGTTGATGTTTACAGAGGAGCTTGTATCACACACCTTTCTTCCCTCTTCTCCTCCTCCCTCACTCTTCTGCATTTAGAAAAGGCAGTACATTGGGTGACTGGGAGTTCAGGCTTTCAATTCTCACCCCACCACTCACAAGTTGTGTGATCTTGATCAAGTTTCTTACCTCTCTGAGCCTCAGTTGCCTCATCTGTAAAATGAGGAGTGGTATCAGTACCTGCTTTATAGGGCTGTTACAAGAATTTGATGGATTAATATTGTAAGTATTTAGGACAGGGCCTGACACATAGAAAGCACTCAATAAATGTTGGCTAGAATTATGATGTCATTCAGCCCTGTAAGTTTTCCTCTCTCCTTTCTCCTAGACTTTGTATGCCTAGCAGGTTCTAGCACACCCATAGGCAATGTTGAGAGACCCACTTAAGACAATCCACTTAGACAAAAGCTCTAAAGGCACCGTTTTTCATACCAAAGTCCCCAAACCACAGAATGTCTCAGCAGAGATTTCCCATAGTCTTCATTATCTTCCTAAAACCACAAGGCACCCAAGGGAAAAATCTGTACCTTTCCACTCTTCTAACTACATTTCTGTTTTTCTGCGTACTCCCTACTTATCTCCAGGGCCTAACAGAGAATGGCACACAGTAGGACTCAAAAATTATTGCTGAACCAGTGGATGCAATTCTTCCTCGTCTGCCCCTTTGACAGATGCTGACAAGGTGTACCAGAGGGAGCAAGTCCACAGCCCCAGCTTTTAATACACAACACAAGATTCATGGGCGCATCTCCCTGAAGCCTCAGCTTCCTCAGCTATAAACTAAGAATACAAATATCTGCAGCTACCTCACCAGGCTGCCATGGGAATCAAATCAAACAAAATACTACACTAGAGCCCACTGAAAAGAATAAAGTATCATACAGTTGGCAGGCACTATTATTTTGATATAGCATATCTGTATCAGTAACAGTGAGTCAGAGAAAGAAGAGGTAATTTAACCCTAACAAGCAAAAATGTTGACTTGTAAACTGCTCAATAGGCTATGATAAGTGGAGGCATGTGAAAATACAAAGGATTTTGTGTTATTTTATTGCAATTTCTGGTTCTTCCCCTATCACAGAATTAGAGGTAGCCTGAAAATTAGTCTCTCTGATTGGTGTACCTGTATCCTCCTAGTAGCCTGAAAATTCCTCCACTGCCCTGCACTGCAAGCAGCTATGAAAACCAAAGGCTTTGCCACATTAAAAAGGTCATTCTATGCATTCTCCTGGGCTGCACAGTACATCCCACTCTAAAAACGCTCACAGTAAGAGACTGTAAGTCCAATGACCACAGCTAGGAGGAAGAGATGGGGGTGACTCAAGGAGGCAGAGAACCACTCACTTGGCTGGGGGCAGGGACAACATCTTGTGCATGGTGGAGCTCATTCGGTCTCTGCCCAGACTAAAGGCATCCTTGGTCAAAGACACAGCTTCCTTGGTGAGGTCCATGGTGGCATGTAGAGCTTCCTTGGTGGCATCCTTGGTCATGTGAATAGCACTTGACAATTCTCCTTCAATGTTCTTCAAGGGCATAAGCTCACCATGTCCATTCACAGGAGTATCCCTAACACCGGCAGGCTTCAGGGCAGCTGGTGAGCTGGATGCTTGGGCTCTGCTCAGTCTCTTGGCCTGCAGGGAATCCACTGCCTCATGGCCCTTCCCTGCCACCTGCTGTGCAAGAGAATCTGAGTCCTGCAGTTCTCCGTTGCTATGGAGAGGCAGTGGCCTATCCTGGGGCGCATCTAGGTTTTCAACGCCACTATCCTCCAGAACCTTCTCAGGGCTTGCTGGGCCCTGGTCTGAGGAGGCATCAGACTTCAGCTCCCGATCCTCTGAAGGAGATAGCTCTGAATCTATAAGGCTGGTGGTATCTGAACCTGCAGAGTCAGCTTTGGCAGCACCAGGGACAGGATGCATGAGCAGAGCCACCTCAGCACTGGGGAAGAGGACACCAATGCAGGCTGTTTGGTCCTGCAGGGCAGACCCAGTCATGGCCTCTGTGTCCTTGGTCAGCTGCTCCTGAAGGCCCTGGAGTACCTCCTTCAGGCGAAGCAGAGCCAAGTACTGGTAGTGGTCAAGCCTCACACGGACATGCGCAGGGGAGTGCACAAGCATGTGAACATCCGCCACATCCTCCAGCTCGGTCAGAGGCTCTTTGTTGTCCACACCACCACCACTTTCCCTCAGAATCTCCATGACTTCTGGAAAGCCTGACAGGCTTTTCAAATCATGCTCTGTCTTTGACCTCAGATGGGACAAAGTATCGGGGGCCAGGGCCTCAGACTGAACAGGACTGCCAAAGCTGGCTGATGGCTTCAGCCTCCCTTCTGTGGCCAAAAGTAGTTTCCGTGCCTGGGCTTGCTGCCAGCGAAGGGGCAGGCAGGCCCAAACGGACAAGGGAAAGGGGGCCACAAAATTCAAGGTCCGGCCTTTGAAGTTCTCTGTTCCCTCAAAGTCCAAGGAGATCTGGGGGAAGTGGATGGACCAGAGATCCTGGGAAGCCTTAGGCCTCTGGGGAGGGAGGGTATTTGCATGAGGGAGGTTGGAATCCATCTGGAAGGTATGATGCAAAAAAAGCATATGCAGAAGGCTGAAGCCACCTGGAACCTTGGGGAACTGAGCATAATTGGAATGAAAGAACTCAGCAGCAGCAAAACCCTGGAAGAGACTGTGGAGGTCTGGACAGCTGCAGTGCGGGGCATGACGTGTATTGGTGGCAGTCATGCCTGATGCAGAGAAGACCAGGGCCTGGGGCCGATGTAACCCAGCCTGCTCTCTCTTCTCTAGTGGGAAGCTCACCTTCAGGGAGAAAAGGAAACCCAATTAATTCAGAATGGCCATCTGAATATCTCCATACCCCACCATTAACACACAATAAAAAACCATTTGGGTTGTGAAACTGTTTTCCTTATTTCTATCCAGTGGAAAGAGCAGAACCCTAGATCATGACAACCCGAGAAATGCAGCTGTGGCTGTGAACAGGTAACAAAAACCCCACTCTCTCCCCACCTTCAACCAGAAGGCATCCAGTCGGATGTCCAAGTGTTCATCTTTCTGGCTTGAATCTTCAAGTTTGTAGATAGCTTTGAACTGCTCCAAGCTGCGGTATAAATCCAGGCAGAAGAGGTTTCCCCAGAGCAAGCTGACAGGATCCATAGTAAATGTCAGACCATTTAACTCAATGTAGAGATTGGGACAGGGAACTGGAAAGCAGAGAAAAAGAGAATAGCCATGTACAAAGTAGCAGCTCAACTCCTATTTACCAGCTAATATTCATTTTACTATCAAGAGAGCAAACATTTATTCAGGGCAGGGTTTTAACAAAGGTGTGCTAAACTGACTCAAACATCTAAACTCCTAACAACAAATGAGAATATAATTAGTAGCCTCAACTCTGACAAATGGGAAGAGCATGCCTGGACAGTAAAAAATGGCCACCTCCGATGCTTACCTGGAAGCTCTTGATTATCTGGGAAATAATACTCTGTGAACTCAATGTGAATGGCAGAGACCTGAGTGGGTAGGTTGTGAAGTTTCCGACTGCAGGAGAGGAGTGTAGATGGCTTCTTACTGGGCTGTCCAGCTGTAGAAACCTATGTGATCACAAACTGCTGTTAGCATCTATGCTGCACCCAGAATAGAATTTCCTGTTTCCTCTACTATCCTTCCAGAGTCTGTCCCAGGGAGTACAGTGCCTTTACACATATTTTACACGTATTACAGGCATTCTTACACCTGTCTAACACTATCCACAAGTTCATGTTTTCAACGGAAGGTTTGTAAGGTTTGTAGTGGGCTATTCACAGGATATAGGGAATCCTAAGTCCAGATCTCAACAGAAGGAAACAGACAAGTGTCGGAAAACAGCCCCAAATTCCACAACTTTGTTCATACTTGTTGCCTTCCAAACGTACTGCCCCACCCCTTTTCAACCACGTTTCCCCATGTCCTGGACTCACCTGGTGGATGTCCAAATCATCCACCCGTATTACTACACAGCTAGAGCGCAAGCGATTCCATGCTGGAGGCCGAAAGGCAGCCTGTCGGCTCTGAGAGGGGCTTCTCTCAAGGGGGGTTTTTCGAGGACTGGAGAGAGAATCTAAGTGAAAATAAAAAAGTGGGAAAAAGAATCAGACACATTCAACTCTCATTATTAATAGAATTAAGAAGTAAAGACTCTAATTAGGATTATAAAGTAATGATCCTAAGATCATTAATGCTATATGTAGGAAAGACAGCTTAACACTGTCTAGCTTCTGGATGGAACTCAAAAACTATCTTCTCCTTAAGACCAAGGCAACAGCCTATTGAATAGAGGTGATGACAACCTCTCGCAACATTGCAGCCATCCCTGGGGACAAACAGGACTCTGTAAAGAAAAAAGTCACTAATGACTCTCCATGGGATAAGGTTGGGATAACTAGCTAGTCCAGTGCTTTATCTCCACTGGATATTCAAAGGTAAATGGCCAGAGGCTAAGCAATAGGAGTCCTCCAGCTCCTCATAACCCACCTGTTTTCCTCCAGGAGGAAGAGTCTACCCCCAGGTGCCAGGGTGATTTCAGACCTATCTCTTCATGCCACTTCTCCATTTTACTCTGAAATTCCATTACCAGTTTCTGGGCCCACTGGCCTCGGGTCTCCATGGCCTCACAGTGACGTACCCAGTGTTTGCAGCTATCGCCTGTACAACAAAAAAGCAAAAAGAATTGAGTCCAAGATCATGATCCAATTTTCCAATTTTTCGTTTCCATTGGTATAATCATAGTTCAGAATCTGATCCCTCAGCACCAAACCAGAATTTTCTGGGATAAGTAAAAATCATCCAGTGAGAGTGCTCAAGTTCTTCTGGATTCCATGTGACTTTCCCCTCACATTCCTGAAGGCCAGCTTCTGGCTGCTGCCATCTTTGACTATAGATTACTGGACAGGCTCTAACCAGTGAAAGTAAGGGGCAGAGGGTAGAATCAAAGCAACATCTCAGGCACTCCCTTCCTTCCCTACTTCCTCTCAACCCTGTTAAAAAATCATCAATAATGGACCCTGAAAGTTTCCAGATGTCCTCTGGAAGAGGTCTATTTCCAATACCTCATGTGCTGCAAGCCCTCACACAGTCCTGCAGGGCAGTCAGGGACGAACCCAGGAATCTGCGCTGAATACCTGGGCCATGGTAGAACTGCCCCCATTCAGAATTCCCATACCTGCCCAGTGGAAGGGGTAATAGTCAAATGCCATTTTGCGGAAAGTAAGCTGCATGGCACCATCCATGAGTCTGTTTGCAGAGACACCTATAAAAGAAAAATAAAAGTGACTAGCAACAGGAGGAACAAAGAAGCCTAAACACCTCTTGAAGCATTAAAGTTCTCTTCAGGCCCTAGCCAATTTTCCTCAGTGGTTAGAGTGTTGGCCCTCAAACTGAAGGGTTCCGGGTTCGATTCCAGCCAAGGGCACGTACCTTGGTTGCAGACTCAATGCCCAGCCCCGGTCAGGGTGCGTGTGGGAGGCAACCAATTGATGTGTTTCTCTCACATTGATATTTCTCTCCCCCCGCCTCCACTCTCTCTAAAAAGCAATGGAAAGAATATCCTCGCGTGAGAATTTAAAAAAAAAAATGTTCTCTTCAGGATCTGATACACATGACGTCAGGTGATTTTCAAGACTGAGTCCCTCCTCTTTGAGTTACAACAGTCAATGGACATGCTCTAAAAGATCCAAAGAAAAGTATATTCCACTGTTTCTATAAATAGCTGCCAAGTTTCCAGAAAGGCAAAAGAAACTGCAAAACTCAGGATTCAGGAGTTCCAATCCTAGGTCTCCCTTAGACATATTCTACCAACCTTGACTGATTGATTAATTCCCCAAACCTAACAATACTTGTAGTACTGTCCCTCAGCACAATACCTGGAGAGACATAAGGCAGATTCCCCCCAAAACAGGACCCATATTATTTCCTTTCATATCCTGGCCTCATAGAGAAAACTGTGTTAACACTGTACATACAAAATACCATGGAATACTAAAAATACTACACTAACAAGAACATTGTAAAATAAACATACAGAATATTGTAGTTAAGTTGGAACTTTTAGCAATAAGACAATTATTATATTGACTTCCAAAAGACGCTGGAGTAGAAAAATGCAGTGCTCGCCTCCTCCCACAATCAAAATTACAACTAAACTACAGAACAACATCATTCAGAACTGCCTGAAACCCAGCTGAATAGAAGTCCTACAACTAGGGATTTAAAGAAGCCACATCGAGACTGGCAGGAGAAGCAGAGATGTGGAACGGGCTGGTCGCACACCCACGTGTGGTGATTAAATATCAGGAGGGATATCTCCACTGCAAAAGACCCCCTGAGGAGCTAGGGGACCCAGCCCCACACCAAGACCCCTAGTCTAGGGTTCCAGTGCCAGGAAGGGACGTCCCCATAACTTCTGGCTATTAAAACCAGCAGGGATTGTGGCTGAATGACAGGGAGTCCCAGGCAGTTCCTCTTAAAGGGCCCACGCACGGACTTACTCTGACTCACTAGCTCTGAACTCCAGCGCTGGGACAGCAGCTCAAAAGGTACCAGGGACATTTGGGGAGGAACTGAACTATCTGGCATCAGCGCAAGAGCTGGGGGACAGCTTTCTCCCAGACAGAAGTGCTGGCAGAGACCATTATTCCTTTGATGAGCCCGCCCCACAGACTGGCAGGCGGGTGTCATATCTGAGTCTCCATCAACCCTGCTATCACCATTGCCCCGACCTGTTGATTCCCTGAGACCCAGCCCCAACAAACTTGCCGGACCACCCAAGCTGTTTGCAGTGGCTTTTCCATATGAATGGCCTGTCTTGGCTCATGCTTCACTTTCCTAAAATCTCTGAAACAAGCAGCATCTGGCCTCATTGTGCCCAGTACCTCTCCCTAAGTGGTCCCAGGCCCGTCACTAGTGGCAGCCAGCCTTGGTCCACAGGTTGGCCTCTCCTGGGCATCTCCAAGCCTAGCACAAGTAGCAGCCATCTGCAGATCTCTCTGTAGCTCAAACCTTGTGGCCCAGGGCAGAATACAGGTGGTGACTGATCTTGCCTGCACCTCCGGGAGGCCCCCCCAGCCTGGTTGACAACTTCGGACCACATCAAAGCACCACCCAACCACCTCCACAGTGACACACTCAAGGGGGCGGACTCAGCAGGCACCACAGTCCCACTGAAGTAAGCCCTGCTCTGTGGGGTGGGCCCCTACACAACTGATCCTCCATGGTGGTCTCTGGTGACAGCCAGCCAGGCCTTGCAGCCAACTGGCCTAGGGGTAAATCCCTCACATTGATGTGCCAACAGCAATCAAGCCTCAACTACAACAGGAGGGTGTACACAGCCCAAGGGAGGGAAAGGAGGCACACCTGGAGTGCTCAGCTTAGGTGATCAGGGAGGCTGTGCCACTGAACCCTACAGGACACCTACCATATTAGGCCACTCTACCAAGCCCCAGGAGACATAGCAGCTCTGTTTAATACATAGAAACAAACACAGGGAAGTTGCTGAAATGAGTAGACAAAAGAAACATGTCCCAAATGAAAAAACAGAACAAATCTCCAGAAAAGAACAAAACAAAATGAAGACGAGCAATCCACTAGATACAGAGTTCAAAACACTTATCTCTTCAACTAGACCCTAAGAACTGTAAGAGGAGGGACTATTCTACATATATGTATTATCTGACCTACCCTGTCCCTTACTAGAATGAAGGGAAGTACCATGAGATCCTCCAGGTATAAGCTGGTACACCTACAACCAGAGGGTCTTTTCCATCCAATCTAGACCTCACAAGTTCTGGACTAATCAACACCCTACCAAGAGATACACCTATACCAGCGTTCCTGCTGCTCAGTCTTTTTTTTCATAATTACTCTAAGGGATCTTTTTATGCATTTTTTCCTAATTGCCCCCTCCATGAAATTTTAATACCTCAGATATGCTGTATATCTTCTTATGTACTATATGTCTATCTGTGCTCTATACATAAAAAAAGTAAGTGTAAAGCTTTGCCTGTTATTCAATGCACAGTTAAGAAAGACTAAATTTTGTTAGCTTAAAAAGTTAAATTAAGCGTGGCCGGGCGGGGCTCAGCGGTTGAGTGTCGACCTAGGATCCAGGCGATCGGGGTTTGATTCCCGGGCAGGACACATGCCCAGGTTTCGGGCTTGATCCCCAGTGGGCTTGATCCCCAGTCGGGGGCGTGCAGGAGGCAGCCAATCAATGACTCTCTCATCATTGATGTTTCTATCTCTCTCTCCCCCTCTCCCCCTTCCTCTCTCTGAAATCAATAAAGACACATTTTTTTAAAATTTTTTTAAAAGTTAAATTAAAAAAATTTAAACTAATTTTAACTTAACTTTATATCTGCTGAGTAATTTTAATGTGATTTATTTACTTATATAAATTATAATTTATCAAATTACATATGTAAATTTGCAATTTATATAAATACATAACAGTAATATAATCAAATATTTAATCATTCAAAATTATTTTAGCAAAAACAAAACAGCTGAAAATTTTAAATTAATTTCATTAAAAATATATTAAATGAACTTAGCTTTTAACCTTTGCTTGATATGAAAAAATAATCTTTAACTTAACTAGCTGCTAGATATTCATTCATATATTGTCAGTATTTTTTCTTTTCAGCACTTGACTAAATGATGGGTTGAATAACATTTGTAGAATTAAATAATAAAATATAAACTATTTTGATTTAATTCTCAAAGCTCAAATCACAAAAGTACTGAAGATCAAACATAAACAACCCTGACAAGCCACCCAGTGGCAGCCAGCAGGTGTGTGCAGGCTACCTCTTACCATACGACTTTGAGATCAAGCAATGGATTGAAAGAAAGTCCTCTAATCACAGCCATCTATTCAACAGTTTGCAGTACTGATCTTCCATACATTCTGTGTGCCTTTCATGAATTCAACATCAATGTTACTCAAGTGACGTCCAAGCAAAAACCAAGGAGAAATTAAATACTAAGGAATAAAATTTTGTCAGACAGGGTGAAGCTTGGAGGACCGCAAACCATTGTTATATGTAAGATTTTTTTTTACCCCCCACCAAAGAAACAATTTTCAATGTCTAGAATAGGCAAATATTAAGACAGAAAATAGATCAGTTGTTGCTTACAGCTGTGAAATGGGAAGTGACAGTTAATGGATACAGGATTCCTTTTAGGGGGGACAAAAATGCTCTAAAACTGGATTATAGTGATGATGGTGCAACCCTATGAACACACTAAAAAACAATGAGTTGTATATTCTAAATGGGTGAATTATATGGTATGTAAATTATATCTCGATAAAGCTATTTAAAAGAAAAGAGTAGATTTTCACCTGCTTGGGGGAAATATCCCAATTCAAATGCATGAGCTAGGCTATTGGAGAGAGGGGGTTTCACAGCCATGCTGCCTCTGTTGGAGTTACTTAGAGCTAAAAGAACAAGCTACAAGAACTGAGCATATAAAAACAGGGTCTAGAAATGAAACCAAATATAATTACCAATCACCAACATACTTAATTTTAAACACATAATTATATATGAGACATAAATGATAGTGTGCATAAGTGACTAATGATAGTTCTGCAATGAACTGGTGGGAAAGGAGAGCCTTGCTTTAAGAGAGGCCAAGGTTTGGCTCACAGGCCTTATTCTGAGGGAAAATGGTTAAAAAGAGTCAGGTGACCCTCTTTCCCATCAACCACCAACCTCCACTCTGAAGCCTTTGAAGTGAGAGATGCTCCAGTTTGATTTCTTTTATTGAGATATAACTGACATTGATTTCAGTTGTGTAACATAATAATTCGACATTTTTATATATTGCAATAGGTGTAATTAACATCCATCCCCATGCAGTTACAAAATTTTTTTGTTATAAGAACTTTTAAGATCTACTCTTAACTTTCGAATAACAATACAGTATTATTAACTATAGTAACCACGCTGTACATTCTATCTCCATGACCTATTTACTTTATAACAAGTGTGTACCTCTTGACTCCCTTCATACATTTGTCCCCCTCCCTATGGAAACCACCAAACTATGCGCAATATCCATAAGTTCAATTTTTTTTGTTTTTTAGATTCCACATATAAGGAAGTTATACAGTATTTTTCGTTCTCTGACTTATTTTACTTAGAATAATGCCCTTAAGGTCCATTCATGTTGTCACAAATGGCAGAATTCCCTTCTTTTTTATGATTGAATAAGATTTCATTGTATGTATATATCTGCGCGTGTGTGTGTGTATGTGTGTGTATCTTTATCCATTCATTCACCAATGGACATTTAGGTCACTTTACCCATTCATCCATCAATGTACATTTAGGCTGTTTCTGTATCTTGGTTATTGTAAATAATGCTGCAATAAACATGGGGAGGCAGATATCTTTTAGAGTTAGTATTTTCATTTCCTTTGGCTAAATACCCAGAAGAAGGATTGCTGGGTCACATGGTATAGTTGTATTTCTAACTTTTTTAGGAACCTCCATACTCTTTTCCATAGTGGCTGCACCAATTTACATTCCCACCAACACGGCACAAGGGATTCCTTTTCTCCACACCTCGCCAACACTTCACTTCTTGTCTTTTGGGTAATAGCCATGCTAACAGGTGTGAGGTGATACCTTATGGTCATTTTGATTTGCATTTCCCTGATAAGTAGTAATGTTGAACACCTTCTTATGTACCTGTTGGCCATCTGTATGTCTTCTTTGGAAAAATGTCTATTCAACTCCTCTGCCCTGTTTAATTGGATTGGTTTTTTTTGCTATTGAGTTGTATTATGTTTTGAATATTACCCCTTATCAGATATGTGATTTACAAATATTTTCTCCCATTTGGTAGGTTGCCTTTTCATTTTGTTGATGGTTTCCTGTGCTGTGCAGATGCTTTTTAGTTTGATGTAGTCCCACCTGTTTATTTTTGCTTTTGTTGCCTTTGTTTCTGGTGTCAAATAAAAAAAAAAAAACACCCCAAGACCCATGTCAAAGATCCAGTTTGATTTTAAGAGACAGTGTTGCCCTGCCCAGGTGGCTCAGTTGGTTAAAGCATCATCGCATGTACCAAAAGGCTGTGGGTTCAACTCCCGGTCAGGGCATATACCTAGGTTGTGGGTTCGATTCCTCTGTCTAAAATCAATAAAAACATATCCTCGAATGAGGATTAAAAAAGAGAGAGAGACAGTGGTACCCTAACTCAAGCCAAACTGTCCCCAATGACCCACCCAGTTTCCAGTAATTTCACCTCTGATACCAAGGGCTACATGAGCATGTTAGTCAGGGAACCCAGCTCTCAGGCTATAGTGTCCCTTAATGAAAATGAAGGTAAATGGAGCCTTCAAAGAGTCTCTACAGCAGCACTGTCCAAAAGAACTTTCTGTGATGATGGACATCTTCTCTGGTCTACAGATAATATTGAGTACTTGAAATGTGGCTGGTGCAAATGAGAAACTCATTTAATTTTGTTTAATTTTAATTTAAATAATCATATGTGGCTAGTGGCTACCATATTGGACAGAGTTATAAAGCAATACTATCCAACAGAAATACAATGTGGGACACAGGTAAGTTTAAATTTTCTAGTAGCCACATGAAAAAGAAGCTTTTTTAAAAAGTGAAATTAATTTTAATACTACATATTATTTAAATCAATATACCCAAAATATTATCATTTCAACATGTAATCAATATGAAAATAATCATCAAAGTATTCTATTCTACACTGTATTTTTTGCACTATATCTTCAAAATTCCATGTGTGTATTACACTTGCAGCACATCTCAATTTGGGTCAGCCAACATTTCGAGTGTCCAATAGTCACATGAACAGAACAACTCGAGAAAATCTTAAAGCACTTTCTGCACCACCTAGTTCTTCCTTCCCCTTTCTCCCTAAATCCAAGAGTCAAAGTTTCAAGAACTCTTCCTGTTCTTGCTCCTTTAGTGTCATATACCACACACCTGGGTATAGTAGGCTGGAGTTATCTCCATCTAAAAATATCTCATCCAAAACTTCCATAAATTCCACCAAGTAGATTAATTTAGTTTTATAAATACATGGGGGCTGCAGGGAAAGCCACAGTTATTCATGTCACAGTATAGATTACAGGGCCCTGCCACAAGAGAGAATAGTGCTCTACACCCCTCATCAAGCAAGAGGATGAAACTCTCAATAATGTATTCTTAATAAAGGCTTCTGAAAGGATTAAAAACAAAACAACTACAACAAAAAACCCAAAGCCTTTATAGTAACATTTGGAAGAAACAATCAAATAAAATAATAGTAGTTTTAACACAGAACTTCCAAAATGAATGGGTGGCAAACCAGTGGCAATAATTTATTTCCTGAGGTGGCAAAAGCAATTTTTTTTTTTTTAATATATATATATCTTTATTGATTTCAGAGAGAGGAAAGGAGAGGGAGAGAGAGAGATAGAAACACCAATGGTGAGAGAGTCATTGATTGAGCCCGCAACCCGGGCATGTGCCCTGACAGGGAATCGAACCCCGATCGCCTGGATCCTAGGTCGACGCTCAACCGCTGAGCCACGCCCGGCTGGGCGCAAAAGCAATCTTAATGCTGCCACTGTTCCTTTCAGCTCTCTGAGTGGGAGTAGAGGAGAGCTGAAGTAACCTCAAGACCAAGAAATAGGCAAACAAGAGAGGGATTGCTGCTTGGTGCATCGGGAAGAAAAGGAAAGGTAGGTTCCCCAGGGAAAGTTAGTGTAGGTCTCATTAAAAGGCAAATATAGCCCTAGCCAGTGTGGCTCAATTGGTTGGAGCATCAACCCATGGACCAAAGGGTCGTGGGTTTGATCCCCAGTCAGGGAGTGTACGGGGAGAGAGACAACTGATTGATGTTTCTCACATCAATGTTTCTCTCTCTTCTATCTCCCTCTCCCTTCCTTTCTCTCTCTCTCAAATAAAGGCAAACATAACTTTCAGAGAAAATAAGGCGGCAAGAGACAAATCTACCACAGGAGAGCATGTAAAACCAAGAAATGGTGGTAAAGGGAAGTACAGAGGAAAAACACAAAGTATTGAAGAAATGGGCATCAGAATAATAATACCGAAAATTTCCCCACTACCAAGGTCCTCAAAATTCCGTGTGTATCTCATTTGAGACTGACAACAACCTGTGAGGTAAACAAGATGTAACTGAACTCAAGTTCACAAATGAAGAAACTCAAAGAGGTTAAGTAAGCAGTTACAGTGAGCTCCCCAAGGCTCACAAAGGAAAGAAGTCAATTGCTTTTCCATTCTGAATAAACGTGTACGTGTATGTAAGAGAAATTGCTGTAATGAACATAAAAGCAAGACAAAAACGCAGCATAACCTCTCTGCTTGGGAAGAGCATATTTACATATAATAATTATTTAAACTGATTTAAAAACCTGAAAATGCTGAGGTTTCCTACAGTTGAATTTTCTTTCCTATTGCTTACATCAGTGGTCAGCACTGCCCAAGGGGCTTTTGGAGATAAAATAAAGTATGTGCTAGTAGGGCTGTACCCCTGAGGGTTCTGATTTAAGTGGGGTCTGGGGAGAGTCTGGCATCTGTATTTTATCAAGTACTACAGGAGGTTCTATTGCACCTTAAAGGCTGAAGAGCTCTGCTTACACTGACAGACAGAGCTACTAGAGGAAGGCGGAGGCTCAAGGATGCCTGTGATTGAGGAAAACCAACCAAAGTGCTCCACAATGTCTAGAAAAGCACCTTCCTCCCCAAGCTTTGCCCAGGCTCAGGCCTCACGGGGTACCTGGCTCTCGGGACTGGCTATCATCACAAATGTGCAGGTCCAGACGGGAGATGAGCAGATGGTAGGAGGACTCTTTCACATCAAATTTCTCAAAGTACTGGCTGAGGCGGTTGCTGCTGTTGCTGCTGCTGCCCTGGCTGCCACCAAATGCCTGGGCCCAGGACTGCTGGGCACTGGGAGCAGGTGGGGTGGTCTACATGTGACAGAGAAAAAAACATGATGCCCGGACCCTCAGAGACTCCTCTGCAGGCTTTTTAAAGCTTTAGCTCACTCTGAAGAAAAGCACAATTCAGCAAGGTGCCCTCCCTTCCCTCTCATAACTGTTCACCTGGTAACTCAGGTCTGTCCCACCGAAATTACCCAAATTCCCAAAAGCCTAATTACAATTAGTCTAGTAACTGTCAGAGTACTGTTCTGAGGTCTGAATTGCTCTACAAGCTCTTACCCCCCATGGCTGAGCTGACTGACGCTAAATCACCTCCTCAGGAATATTCCCCAAACGTCCTCTTTCAGCCCTGGTAGTTAGATGCCTTGTCACTGTGCTTACAGCACAGAGTTTTCCTCTGTTACAGCATTTATCACATCACAGTGCAATAACTTGTTGATGGTCCCTATTTCAAAACAGTGAGAGCTCCAAGGATAGTGTTACCTAACACATTGGAGGCACCCAATGAACAGAATAAATTAATAAATCAGAGGCTGAGGCAAAGCCTATGCACATCCAGAAGTAAATGAAAAATTCCCCGAATATGCCAAATAGTCTAGACTCCGCCTACATTGGTGAGACTTAGGTTGGGCTACCATTTCCCCAGCCCCACCAAGGGTATCTGTTTTGCCTCTCACCTGTACAGGTTCAGGGGCCAGGCTCTTTCTCTGCTGGGCTGACTTCTCCATGGCCTCACTCAGGGACTCTGCATACTTCATCATAGCCTTGAGCTGCGAGTCAGTTAGCACCCAGAGCAGGTCATCCAAAAGGAACATCAGCTTGGAGGCCACCACATTGCAATCTTTGGTCTGAAGGAGTCAAAAGAACACATATTCAGCATCCTGCATCAATCCAACTCCTGAAAGTGACCATCACCCAACTAATTTCAGAGATGGCGTTTCAATCCCCAGGACTTGAAAAGAAAGTATCAAGCACCTTGGAGAGTCAATTTCTTAAAACTACTCGAGCAGCAACAGACAACTGCAAGTTGTCTATGTCAGTGTCCCTATATACGGGTAAAAACTGTGGTTTCCAAAATTAAGAGGACAGGGAAGTGGAAATGCTCTCTTATTAGTGGATACTGTGCAACACTGAATTGCAGGCCCTGTCCTTTCAACTGTCATTCCAGAGGTTAATAACATCAAGAAAAGAGGGTACACCAACTCCCAGGCTATCTAGGAGAATGGACGATGGCAGTTTTATTGAGGTCAGAGAACACACTCACTCTTCTCTTGAGGGCTATTTGGATCCTGCCTTGGTTGGTAATAAGCCTCAGTGGGGTGGTGACTAGGTCCTGATCACCACTGTCTGTAGCATCCGCCTCAATCCGAAGGGTTTGCCAACTTATTTCCTTAAATGTTAAAACCTGGAAGGAGACAGAGTAAAATCCTTTAATTCTTTGGATGAAATTAACCAAAAGGCAGAAGTCCAAGGGAAAGAGATTGGCAAGGCAGAGGCTCCCACCATTCTCAGTTGGGATGCTACCAATAGAAGGCAGTAGATCAGAGATCCACTGAGGAAAGGATATAGCAAAAACACTGGACAGAAAGATTCCTGCATTCCCAGGAAGAGGGGATCATTTGAGGAAACCCCCAATGCAGGAATACTGTCCTTTAAGAATCAGTCCTACTTATATCCCCCCATTCTCTACCCTTGCAATGCTAGGGCTGTCACCTCTCCTCGGCGGGGGTCGGTGATGCGGGTGAGGCGGAGGTCGCTCTGCTGCCAGTTGGGGTTGACACTATAGCCCTGGAGTTGCCACAATTCAAAAGAAGCATGGAAGGCCTTGGAGTGAATCTTGATGGTGATGGAATTGACGATGATGAACATCCCCTCCACCACCTTCTCAGCAAAGCCATACTCACTACAACAAATGAGGCAGACCAGTGTTCAGAATCATGTGCAACCATCCACACTCTTTGTATTAGAAAACATCAGACAAGACTGTTAATAATGCCCACCTCTGGGTGCTAGAACTATGGATGGTTTTTTTCTTTATTTCTCTCCTCCCATTTCTACTTCCTAATATTATTTAAATTTCTAATAAAATTGTATGATGATACAGTACTCTTTTTAATGGGATTTTCTTTTTTTATTGATTTCAGAGAGAGGAAAGGAGAGGAAGAGAGAGAGAGAAACATCAATGATGAGAGAGTCATTGATTGGCTGCCTCCTGCACGCCCCCGACTGGGGATCAAGCCTACAACCCAGGCATGTGCCCTGACCAGGAACTGAACCCCGATCACCTGGATCCTAGGTCAACGCTCAACTGCTGAGCTACGCCTAGCCGGGCCTTAATGGGATTTTTTTTAATGAAATAAAAGAAAAAGAGTTTACCTGGAAACAATCTCCTTCCTCTTACAAAGAATAAATTGAAAAATCTTTTTATAGTCCACAAATTACCTGAAATAAACATTTGAGTATTTTCTGTGAGGGAAGGTATAACTAGAGAAAGTAAACACTAGGTTTCCACTAAATCTTCAAAGACAGAGCATACTCTGCAAAGGTACTGGAAAGAGGAAAGAAATACAGCTATGTGAGCGAGAGGTATAATACTGCGAAATCTAATCAAGAACAGTCTCATCTTTACCCTATCAAATATATTCCAAAGACCATAGCTGTACTTCCACAGTGAAAGGCAGGAAATGGCAAGGAGAGAAATGAAGGTCATTTTAAAGTACTTCTGGATGTGGAAAACAAAGACATTCTTGACATGTAGGTGAAATCAATTATTATGAGAGATGAACAGAAGGTCTGCAGGCCTGGCCTGCATGGCTCAGTGGTTGAGCACTGACCTACAAACCAAGGAGGTCACAGTCCAATTCCTGGTCAGGGCGCATGCCCCAGTTTCGGACTTGATCCCCAGTAGGGGGCATGCAGGAGGCAGCCTATCAATTACTCTCATCATTGATGTTTCTCTCTCTCTCCCTCTCCGCTCCTCCGATATCAATAAAAACATATTTTATTTAAAAAAGGAAGGTCTGGAAATTACAAACTAAAACAAACAAACATATGCAGTTGACCCTCGAACAACGCTGGGGGCACTGACTCCCCCATGCAGTCGAAAATCCACGTATAACTTCCAACTCCCCCCTCTAAAACTTAACTACTGTTGATCAGGAGCCTTAGCAGTAACATAAACAGCTGATTAACACATTTTGTATTTTATATGTATCATATACTGTATTCTTACAATAAAGTAAGCTAGAAAATATCAAGAAAATCATATGGAAGAGAAAACACATTTAAGTACTGTACATAATTTATTGAAAAAAATTCAGCCTTGGCCAGGTGGCTCAGTTGGTTGGAGTGTTGTTTCGTCCACCAAAAAAGGTTGTGAATTCAATTCCCAGTAAGGGCACATACGAGAGGCAAGAGTCTCTCTCTCTCTCTCTTCTTCTTTCTCTAAAATTAATAAACATATCCTCGGGTGAGGATTAAATAATAATAATAAAATAAACAAAACTAATGTATGATGTTAAAAATCAGGATAAAAGTTACCCTTAGGGATGAGTATGACTAGAAAGGACACAGAAGCCTTCTGGGATACTGGAAGTAGTCTGTTTCTTAATGTGTTAACTTCGTAAAGAATCACTGAGCTATACACTTATGATCTGTCCACTTCAATACAACTTATCAAAAAAACTATACTGAAATAGCTGAAATACCACGTGTCATCTATTAGATTAGGCAAAATTCCTACAGTTTAACGATATCCTCTATTGGCAAGCCTCTGGAAAAACAAGATCTCTTACAAACTGCTGGTGGAAACATAAAATCATAAAATCATTATAAAGGAGAACTTAGCAATGTCTATCAAAATTATACATATAGCCAGGCCGGTGTGGCTCAGCTGTTAAGCATCAACTAGGATCCAGGAGATCTCGGTTCTATTCCCAGTCAGGGCACATGCCCGGGTTGCGGCTCCATCCCCAACAGGAGGTGTGCAGGAGGTAGCCGATCAACGATTCTCTCTCATCATTGATGTTTCTATCTCTCTCTTTCCCTCCCTTCCTCTCTCTGAAATCAATAAAAATATATTTTTAAAAAATTATACATGCATTTGCCCTTTGACCCAACAATGCCACTTCTAGGAATCTATCCCAAAATATGCTAGCAAAAAAAGTAGAAATAACCCAAATGTCCATCCACTGATGAATATATATAAATAAAATGTGGTATAGCCATACAATAGAATATTATTCAGTCATAAAAAGGAATAAAGTTCTAATACATGCTACAGCATAGCTTAACCTTGAAAACATTATGCTAAAAGAAAGAAACTAATCACAAAAGACCACATAGTATATGACTCCATTTACATGAAATGATAGGCATAGACACAGAAAGTAATTAATGGCTGCCTAAGGCTAAGGCAAAGGAAAATGAGGAGTGACTGCTAATTGGTATGGGGTTTCTTTTTGGGTGATAAAAATGTTCTAAAATTGATTGTGGTGATGGCTGCACAACCTGGTGTATATACTAAAAACCACTGAACTGTACACTTTAAATGGGTGAATTCCATGGTATGTGAATGATATCTCAATAAAGCTGTTTTCAAAAATATGCTGGCAAAATACTAAGTGACTTATGAACAAGGTCATTTATTGCTGCACTATTTCCAGCAGCAAAGAACCTGGAAATAATTCAAATATCTATCAACAGAGAACTGGCTATATAACTACCATGACTCTATAAAATAGAACTAAAACACTGTGTAAAATATTACATAAAAATCAAGTATTCTACAGGTGCAAAAAGAAATAAGGAACATTTCTCTATAAAATTCTGTGGAGTGATCTCCAGGATATACTTTTAAAAGAACAAAAGCACTGTGCAAAGTGTTTATGGTATGCTACATTTTATGTAAGGAAGTGGGGGCAAAAGAAATATATATACATATAACATACCTTGTTTTATACTTTTAACTTTGGAACTATGTAATTTGACTTAGTTAAAAATAATTTTAACTTTGGAATTATGTAATTATACATAGTTAAAAAATAAATTTAAAAAACAATTTAAAAATTAAAAACAATCTAATATAAAACTTCTCGAAGATAGCATAGGAAAAAAATCTAGATGATCCTGGGTATGGTGATGCCTTTTTAGATACAACACCAAAGGCAGGTTCCATGAAAGAAATAATGAATAAGCTGGACTTCATTAAATTAAAAACTTCTGTTCTGCAAAAGACAGTATCAAGAGAAAGAGAAGCCAAGCCACAGGCTTGCAAAAGACATGTCGGATAAAAGACTATTTATCCAAAATATACAAAGAACTCTTAATTCTCAACAATAAGAAAACAACCCAATTAGCAAACAGGCCAAAAACCTTATTAGATACCTCACCAAAGATACACAAATGGCAAACAGGCATATGAAAAGATGCTCCACATCTTGCCATCAGAGAAATGTAAATTAAAACAACAGTGAAACTTCACTACACACCTATCAGAATGGCCAAGATCCAGAACACCGACAAAATCAAATGCTAGCAAGGATATGCAGCGGCAGAAACTCTCACTGATTGTTGGTGGGAATGCAAAAATGATATAGCCACTGTGGAAGACAGTTTGGCGGATTCTTCCAGAACTAAATATACTCTTGCCAATACGTTCTAGCAATTATGCTCCTTCATATTCACTCACAGGAGATGAAAACTTATGTCCACACAAAAAACCTGCACATGGGCAATTATAGCATCTTTACTCATAACTGCCAAAATTTGAAAGCAACCAATGTGTTCAGCAGGTGAATGGATAAACTGAGGTACATCCAGGAAATGAAATATACTTCAGAGCTAAAAAGAAATGAGCAAGAGAGACATAAAAAGACATAGAGGAACCAATGTATATTACTAAGTGAAAGAAGCCAATCTAAAAAAATAGAAACATACTATATGATTTCAACTATATGACATTCTGAAAAAGGAAAAACTAGAGACAGTGAAAAGACCAGTGATTGCGAGGGGTTGGAGTTGAGAAGGACTGAATAAGTGGAGTAGAGAGGATTTTTAGGCAGTGAAAATACACTATGATAACACCATGACTGATAAAAGTCATTACACATTTGTTCAAAAACATAAAATGTACCCACAGGAGTGAACCTTAATGTAAACTATGAGCTTTGGGTGATTATGATGTGTTAAAGTAGGTTCATCAATTGTTACAAATGTATCACCCAGGTAGAGGTGCTGACAATGGGGAAGGCTATGCACATGTGAGGGGCAGGGGTATATGGCAAATCTCCACACCTTCCTCTTAATGTTACTGTGAACCTAAAGCTGCTATAAAAAATGTTTTTTAAAAAATTAAAACATGCCCAGCCGGGCTTGGCTCAACAGCTGAGTGTCGACCTAGGGTCCAGGCGATTGGGGTTTGATTCCTGGTCAGGGCACATGCCTGGGTTGCGGGCTAGCCGATCAGCGACTCTTATCATTGATGTTTCTATCTCTGTCTCTCCCTCTCCTTTCCTGTCTCTGAAATCAATAAAGATATATTAAAAAAAAACAAAAAAAACACTAAAACAAAAGGACCTCTGTATGTCAAATGAGTACCAAACCATGTGAAGAATGATTTCAAGTGACTTTTAAAACACCGTATTTTGACCATACATCCCTAGTAGGACGTTTCATGAGGTTAAAACACACATACACACACACAGAAATCTACTGCATTCAGCAGTCTATTGATCAATATAATGTTGATTTTGTTATTTTTTGAAACTATCAAAAAGTAAATCATTTATTACTATATTATTGTTAAGAACCAAGATTCAGCATATGAATAAAAAATACAAATATTAAATCTAAAAAAGTTAACTCAAATATAGTCAATAATATTGAAATAACTATGTACGGTGCCAGGTGGTACTAATCAAGGGGATCACTTCATGAGTTATATAAATGTCTAACCACTACTCTCTATACCTGAAACTAATATAATATTGAATATCAACTGTAATTGAAAAATAAAAATAAAATTTTTAAATAAAATAAAAATTAACTCAAAATTCTGTTTTATTTTAATTGAGAAATATCAGAATATTGTCATGATTTAGTTTTCTTTCTTTTAAATTTTTTAATAGTTTATTGATTTTTAGAGAGAGAGGAAGGGACAGAGAGAGAGAGAAACATCAATGTAAGAGCACAACGTGGATTTGCTGCCTCCTGCACCATCCCCCACACAGGGGGATTGAGCCCACAACCCAGGCATGTGCCATGGCTGGGAATCACACCCGGCAACCGAACCCAGCAACCTTTAGGTGCACGGGACGATGCCCAACCAACTGGGCCAGACCAGCCAGGGCTATTTTTCTCTCTTAAAAATACCTTTTCACCCTGGCCAATTTTGCCCAGTGGTTAGAGCATTGGCCCAAGGGCTAAAGGGTGTCCGGTTTGATTCTAGCCAAGGGCACGTATCTCAGTTGCAGGCTCGATCCCAGGCCCCAGGGCACGTGTGGGAAGCAACCAATTGATATGTCACCCTCTCAAAAAAAAAACACCTTTTCCCTAGAACTAAACACTAAAAAGGCTTTAAAGCAATAACAACTCTATGAATACTATTTCGCCCAGACTATAGTCTCTAAATAACATGTCTCAGTAAAAGAAATCAAGGTTCCCTGAAGAAATGTCTTATTCCAGGTCTGAGGTAAGGATATCTAGAGAAGCCTGAAACATCCTGTTCCGTCTAAAAGCAGGAAGATTACTGGGACCTTATTCCAAAGGTTCTCACTGGCCAATGAGGGGGACATCTGAACACCAAAAAGAACAGTGACTATAAAAGTATGACATACAACAAATATATTAAGAAAGTAAATGTAAATGTAGGATATAAAAATGTAAAATATGAAAGCATGTAAAAAGAATGTAAAATAGTAAACCACTCTGGAAAAGTCTGACAATTTCTTTAAAAAGTTAAATTCTTACCTACCATACCACCCAACCATTTCATTCCTAGATATTTACCCAAGAGAAATAAAAGCACATAACCATACAAAAACTTGTAAGCCAAAAACTGAAAATAAAATGCCCATCAACAAGTAAATGGATAACAAGCTGTGGTATATCCACACAATGGACTATCACTAAGCAGCAATAACAGGAATGAACTACTGAATAAACTACATTCAGCATGGGTGAATCTCAAAATAAATATGCTGAATATATACTATATGATTTCATTCACGTAAAATTAGAGAAAATGCAAACTAAACTATAGTGACAGAAAGGCAATGTTTGGGGACAGGAGGAGGGGTGGGAAGGGGAAGAGAGGGGAACACAAAGGAGAATGTGTGTGGAGGTGATGAACATGTTCACTATTGGGATTGTGGTAACCATTTCATAGGTATATGCATATGCCGAAACTTATCAAATTGTACACTTTATAGATGTGCAGTCTATTTTATGTCCATTACAACATAATAGAGCTGTAGAAAAAAAATCCATGGATTCAAAAATGATAAACCTCTTCCTTCCTCTCCCCACCCCCCAAAAAACCTCTTTAGAGATTATTAGGGTGTCAACTCATAATTCTTTTTCTATTGAGATACAATTTATATATAACATTGTGTTAGTTTTAGGTATACATTATTCTTAAATTTGATAAAGGTAAAAAATCCGGCATTTATCTCGACATTCCTGTACAAATGGTATTTCAAGGTAAATCAAATAGTTGGTAAAAGAAAAATTCTTTATAGAAAATCACAGTTAATAAATGCAATAGGAAGAAAATAATTATAAAATCCCTATTCTGCATCCCACAATAAAATAAAGGATCTAGACAACTACCATCAATGCCCCTTCAACCACAAGGTGAAAGGTTGTTGTGGAGCTTGTCATAATGGACAAATCAGGTCAACATCATTTAAATCCACTAATTAATCTTAACCAAAGGAACATTATGCGCTTCCAAATATGTTACAGTACACAGTACTACTTCTGAAATATTCTTACCAAAAAAAAAATAATTTTTGAATCAAATCAAGCAAGCCTTTACATCTAACTACCAGACTAAATGAGAAACATTCTAAATGACACTTTGAGGACACAATCAGACAAAAATATAAAATGTAGAAATTTTCTTATAAAAAAAAATCCAGTTTCTACAAAGAATAAATGGTATATTAAAAGTGCATGTGGCCCTGGCCAGTTTGGCTCAGTGGTTAGAGCGTTGGCCTGCAGACCAAAGGGTCACAGGTTCGATTCCCAGTCAAAGGCACATACCTAGATTGCAGATTCGATCCCTGGCCCTGGTTGGGGCACATGTAGGAGGTGACCAATCAATATGTCTCTCACATTGATGTTTCTCTCTCTGTCCCCTTCCCTTTCTCTCTCTCTAAAAATCAATAAAAATATTTTTTTTTAAAGAAAGCACATGATCCATTAAAAAAAGTGTGTGTGGGGGGGTGATTAAAAAGCTTTAAAAATCAAATCATGTCACCCAAATATAATATACAGAGCTCTTTGATCCACAGTATATTATAAAAAATATTTTAGAGACAATTCAGGAAAATTGAATATGAAATACATATAGATAATATTAAGGAATTCCTCTTAATTCTATTAATTGTGATGACAGTATTATAGTTTCTTTTTTCTTCTTTCTTCCTGTTAAAGATACATGATACAGAAGTATTTATCGATGGAATTATATGGTGGGTGGGATTTGCTTTCAGGTACTACAGCACAAACACACACACCACACAAAATGGAGGAGAAAGGTGAAAAAAATGGCCAAATGTTAATAATTGTTGAAGTTAGATCTTGAGTACATGGGGTTTCGTTACACTGTTCTCTCTACTTTAACTTTAGTGTATGTCTGAAATTTTCCATAATTTCAAGTTTTTTATTTTTTAACTAAAAGGTGATCTGGACCAGTAATGTTTCCAACTAACCTCTGTCCTGAAGCAAGGGCAATGGGAGACTGTCCATTGGGAGGCCGAGGCTCCTCACATGTCTTCATCTCCACCTCCACCTTATCCAGACACTGAAATAAAAGCCACAAAGAGCTAACCATCTGCACAAAAACCCACATAGCACAGGACTGTGTCTTACTCGTCCCTGTGCTCCAGTGCCTAGCCAAGTGCTACGTTCACAGTGGGCAGGCAATATCTGTTGAATGAATGAACAAACTGAAATACACAGAGAGGTCTCATCTTTCACCTTTCATTTCCATTAGCAGCAAAACTCCATGACAAGCATGGGATTAGCTCACAGCAGAAAACTAAATATAAATCCAAGTTAGAGATATCACCAGTGCTTGGGATTCCAGTCTTTGGGATAAAGATATGCACCAATCAGTTCCTAAAGAGCTGTCATTTGATAATCACCCAATAGTCAACATGAACTAAAATTCCAGTTTTTCCTATCAGGATTCTAAGGGAAAATAGGGAAATCTAAAGGTAATGTCTGGGCAGCAAAACTTGTTATGAAACACTACAAAATAAAAACCAGCTCAGGACTCCAGGGCCTTGTGTCTCAGCGCTAATTCCTATACTGCCCAGCAGCTCCATAATTAGTCCAGACAACAGTAGCTCTGTCTCAGAGAGAAGCTCACAGCCCAGACAAAGCACCCATGGCTCCCAAAAGAGACAGCCTATCAGGACTCCTCCCCATCTTCCCTCAGATCTCTTAAAATCCTACCCCAGCCATCCCCATTGGATTACTTGCAAACAAGACAGGCCATTACCAAGCAAATTGGGTGTGTCTTCAATTTTGTCCACTGGATCTGAAAGAGAAAAGCAACGAGTCAGGACTGTGGAAGGCAGGCCTGCTGGCCCAAGAAAGCAACAGCACTCTGACCCCCGTTCTCACCCGGATGGAGGCCCTGTTGCAGTAGACCCGAGTGATGGCTAACCAGGTAGGCAGCTCCAGCACATTCTGCAGAACCTCTTCGTCCAGCTCCAGGTTGGTCAGCTGACCTTCGCCTTTCAGGGTGCTCAAATTGATTTTGTCTGGGGAAAGATTCTTAGTGAACCTGAAAAAAGTAATGATAAGAAGGCATTATTTCCATGGGAACCTGCTAAATGGCATTACAGCCAATAACACTTCTGAATTTACAGAAAAGAGAACATTAAAGAACAAACATCTAATGACCACACTGTCTCTACACCATGCAAGATGTTGGATGAGACCTATCATTCCACTCACAAGTGTGTCATCTTTCTACTCAAGAACCTATAATGGGGATTCTGGGGATATGGCTGTAGTGGTGGCAACACAGCCTTTCGATATTTCTGAATCCCCACATTAAAACAGACAGAGTATGGGGGCAGGGGACAGAAAGAGATTAACAAAAAAAACCCCCAAAAACCAGACAGAGCAACTAGTCAGCAACCCAAAAAGCCCACGGACAGCCCGAGCAGAGTGGCTCAGTCGGTTGAGCACCATCCCATGAACCGGAAAGTTGCGGGTCGATTCCAAGTCAGGGCATGTACCTGGACTGTGAGTTCAATCCCCAGTTGGGGCATGGACAGAAGCCAACCAACTGATGTTTCTCTCTCACACTGATATTTCTCTCTCCCCCCTCTCTTCCTCTCTCTAAACATGTCCACAGATGAGGATTAAAAAAACAACTAGAAGATAAAGCATCCAAATAGCCCCCCATATACAAGCAGGAGGGGAAAAAAACATTAAAAATCACAAGATGTAAGTGCACTAAGCAGCTGTACAGATCAACATAGAGGGAAGCAATAAGGCCTCTGACAGACCAGAGAACAGAAGAAGCCCTAGGCAACCAAGTGCTAAATGAAAACCAATGTGACCAATTTGAGAATAGCAACTGAAACTGGAGGGGTTCTGTCCACTGCAAGGGGTCCCCAGTGAGGCCCAAAGAAGCTGGAGTGGTCTAGCCCTATGAACTCATATAACTAAGCAAGGCTTCTTCCCAGGACAGGGCCCCTGCACTGCGAAGAAATTGCTGGGAGAGGAATCCATAGTCAGTAAAATGGGGTAACAGAAATGAAAGGGGGAAAAAAGAGTCCAAATTAAAGTGTGTGTGGGCAGAGGGGGATAAACACTTACATTTTTAACACTACTTGAAACAAGAGAAGAGGGAGCTCTATGAAGATAAAATATGAAACAGTAAGAGGCTAATTATTAGCTTGTTAAGTAGGGTATAATGAACCCCAGACCCTTACACATAGCTTTGATGTGATAAAATAACACACCACCACCACCTATAGTCTAGCCGCAGGGACTGAGCTTGAATCTCATCATGCTACTTACTGGGTCCAGTTGTTAATTTACAGAAAACACAGGACAGAGGTTAACTGCTGAACTGCACTGGAAGTGTGCAATCAGTAAGACCCAGGCCACGGGAAACTCTTTAGGTCAAGCGGCCTGGACATGAACAATCCACACAGGCCTGTCTCTTCACCAGTCCGTGTTCACTGTCTAGTCTTTGCTTGCGTGCTCTCACCACCCACTCCCTTTCCTGGAGCACCCTCATCATCTGCCACTCAAGGCCCAACTCAAGACTTCTCACTGAGGCTTTCTTTCCCTAGCTGCTGCGCGGCACATTAAACAATTAGGGTCTTAGGGTGTTCTCTAACTCTCCCATGTGTAACCACCCCTGCGCAACGAGATGTTAAGCCCTTTGAAGCCAGGGGCTCAGCCTTAGCCATCCTTCTAATCAAAATGTTCACCTGACAGAAAGCTGGCCTGCCTACTGTCCCTGTCAGCTAACTGCACACTGCTGGCTCACCACTCCCAGCTCCCTTCTCTCATCTCCTCTGGCTGATCAATTTTAGGCCAGTTCCTCACAGCATCACCCCCTCTCCCGTATGACAAACTGTCCGATGAGTCTCGTCCCTGTAATTCTTTTGTTGTTGTTGGTTTGTTTTAATCCTCACCGAGGATCTTTTTTCCATTGCTTTTCAGAGAGTGGGAGGGAGAGAGTGAGAGAGGGGGAGAGGGAGACACATCAGTGTGAGACAGACACATCAATCCTGCATGCACCCCGACCAGGGCCAGGGATGGAGCCTGCAACCGAGGTACATGCCCTCTACTGAAATCAAACCCGGGACCCTTCAGTCTGCGGGCCGACGCTCTAACCACTGAGCCAAACTGGCCAGGGCTCATCCCTGTAATTCCTTTTCACTGTTACTGCCTCTCATAATCACTATTTTCCACACAACAATTAATTGTATTTGACCCTCCACTGTAACTATACTTAGCCCTTACATATATTAAATGCAAAGAGTTGACTTTAGATTTATACATTATCAACTTTTATTTTTCACACATATCCTTTCCTTTTACTAAGCTATGTATTTAGTGTTTTTGGTTTTCCTTAAACCATAAGATAATGACATGTAAGAGTTTTACCTTTAACTTTTTTCTACAATGCCTAAAATGGTATTACAAAGGCTCTTTAACGATATTTTAAATGACAGTAAAAAAATTTTTAGAAGTTTATAAACATGCGAAACAATACTGTATGATAAGAAGGGATACACAGGAATGCACTGGCAAGATAACAAATTCAGGAAAAGTGTTCACATGTGGGACAAGGGGAGGGGTTCATAGGAAGCTTCAACTGTATAGATAATACTTATTTCTCAATGGAGTTGGGAGGTGACGGTAAGGCTGTTCATTATATTACTCTTTTTACCTTTTTATATGGCAACTATTTCATAATAAATCTTTCTAAGATTTCTGCCAATTACCTATTGTATGTACTTACTATTGGTAGAACTACTCGGCCATCGGTCTCTCACACTGCTACACGGTCTTGCTGGGTATGCCAAAAATGGACAACCCTGACCACTCCTTACCCAGGCTATTTCGCAGGATTGTGTTGCAAAGAGCAGCTTTGAGGATAAAGTAATGTCCCACTACAGTACAAAGAGTAGTTTTGTTTACCACTTACCAAAAACAATGGGTTCCCCAAATTCAACATTCCATTCCTATAACACATGTGCAGGCATCTACCTGGGCCCATGCATGTCACTCCCATGGGACTTGGGGGGTGTGGGGACTAATTGCAAACATATGCCTATGCTGCTTGCTGGCCCATAAGTAATTAAGTCCTTTGTCTCTGATCCAGGAGTCTCACGTGTTCTGCCACATACATGAACTATAGCAGGCTAATTATTAGCTTCTAAATAAGGTAAAATAAAATCCCAGACCCTTACACATACTTTTACTGATTTTAATAAAAGAAATTTAAATAAACGTTTACTGAGTATGAACCAATTTTATTCTCTGATCCAAAAAGACAAGCTTTCTCTAATGACTCCTATCATCTAGAAACTAACTTGCCACAGGGGGAAAGAATTCCTCTTTTATTCCTCTTTTCCTGTGAGGAATGGCTACAAGCAAGGAAACAGGACTGGGTTGTGAAAGAGAAAAAAAGAACATCTTAAATAATTAACTCCCACTGCAAGAAACAACAACTACTGAAAGAAAAGACACTACAGTGCATGCCCATAAGGAGTATGGAGGAAACACTGTCTTAAGGGAAGGAAAGGAGACAGAAAACAGAACTCAACATTATTTGTAATCACGAGGTACAGGCAGGCTTTCTGTTCCAAGTCCCTTGTGTATTTAAATAAGATATCACAATTATGCCCTGGCTGGTGTGGCTCAGTTGGTTGAGAGTTGTTCCTTGCACCAAAAGGTCACAGCTCGATTCCCGGTCAAGGCGGGCATCCTCCAGAAGTATTTGTCTTAAAGATAAGAATATTCCAAGACATAAAATTAGGTTGTAAAGACTGTATGTTTCCTTGTGTGTCCCCCACAGATTCTGATAAGGCCCCATCTTCCTACCACAGCTGAGACATGGCAAGAATGGCCATTGTCAGAGATAGAAGGATCCCTTTAACACACAGGAGTGGGGAGAAGTCTGAGAATCACTAACATAAGCTACTTTTCCTCTTGATAAAAAGGCATTTTTAAGAAAAGAAAGTGATAGGGACTTTTTCAAGTATATTCCTCTCTGAAAAAAGAGGAACATACTTTGAATAAAATGAAACATAAACACAGTCAAGAATAAGCTACACTGCTTGCTCCACTGACACTCAGTGTGATTATACTCAATAGGTGCCATAGATCTAACATCTATATTGTATTGTATGCAAAATCTAACTCTATTTACAACTCCATAGAACATAAATGTCATTTTCGTAACCTTGAGTTAAAAAGTATGAGATTGTGTTACATTCCACCTTAACTTTCCCAGTACTTAGGGCAATGTGTGACAAACTATGTGCCTCTGATCACATGGGTGGAATCACTTCGGTATGTTTATTTTGACATGCAGATCATTGGGACACACCACAGATATGCTGAATTACAATGGGGAACTGGGTAAGGAACCCAAATTTTTAACAAACTCAAGGTGATTTCTTCTGTTCTTTAAAGTTTGAGAATGCCTTAATTTGAGGTTTCAGTTAACCAGCTATAACACTTTAAGGAAGAGAAAGCCAGAGGCTGCAGATGGAAAAGAAATGCATAAATCCATTCCTCAAGAACAAAGTTTTCACCTTCTATTCTTATTATGGCTGGTTAAGAGCTTTACAGTTAGACTTGGGCTCAAAATCTGGCTCTCTCATTTACTAATACTGTGACTTTAGGCAAACTGTTCAACCAACCTCACATGGCTGCAGGGATTAAAAGAGCTATACATAACATACATTAAATACCTGGCATTTATTAAGTACTCAATAAATAAATCTTAATCATTGTTATTTCTGGATTTCATTACCCTCTCCCTTTAGAAAAGCCTTAAATTATTATCTTTTAAAAAAGGTTTAGATCATTTCAAAATGTATACAAATGTCGAATCATTGTTATACACCTGAAACTAATATAATATTGTATGTCAATTTAGAAAAATGTTTAGGAGGCTTAGATTATTATCCAGGGACTCAGGGTTTCTTCAAGAGACAACCCCTCAGATCTACCTTTCTATCTCAATGTAGCATCTTCCATTTCCAGTATGCTTACTTCTATCCTTTCAACTTGGGTTTCTAG